TGGCTTGAACTTGCATTTCATAACACATAGAAAAATTCTAAGTGTGATGCTACTAAGGATAGTCTATTTTTAAGGCTCGATAACTAGTGTTCGGAACGAACGAACCATTCGAATAAAAATATCCGAATAATTAAAATGGACTTAATATTATTGAGCACTTAACATATACTTAAATAAATCTTGACTTATACTTCTTAACACATTAGAAAAATTATTCTAAGTGTTCACTTATATGTTAGGCTATGACTTAGGGAATTTCTTTGGATCTCGGTTCAAAATCTCGAGTCGGCTAAATTTCACTTATTAACCCAATTCATTGGATCGATCTTGGTCTTAACATATCTTAGAAAATTCTTAAGAATAATCTAACTTAATTGAGCATTTTCTTATAATTTAAATAAAATCTTGAATTTCTTAAAATTACGAATTTCACTTAAAAGTCGAGCAGTGAAAATCGTCTTAATAACATAATAATATTCGGGGCGTTACAGACGAGATCTCTTCGGATTCGGGGGCAAATCCTTCTCAACTGGGAGAGGATGATGGAGACGAGATCGCCCTTGCTTTCCTCGATAAATATGATCGATTTCAGATTTAGTTTATTTATTATTTTAGCATTATTCTTCTTTTTGTTTTATTTCCTTACTTATTTAATTATTATGAGTAAGTAAATATTTATCTTGCAGCTTGTTAGGCAAGATACTTGTAGGAGTAGGACTTTTTATTTATTTATCTGGCCAAAGCAACAGATGATCAGTGGTGAATGAATTTGAAAATTTTTATCTGATATTGTGAGTTCTTCATGAGAGCGTATCTCGTATATCCCATTCTTATTCACGTTCTACATCACTCCCAGATGGCATCCCGGTTAAACGTACCATTGAAGTTGGGAGCACGAACTTGTTTCTCGTTCTCGTCCAGGTCGATCGTATAATAGCCCATAAAAAAAGACTGTAGACTTGAGAAACTTCTCGATCACCTGCTTACGATATTCTTCGTAAACGCGTTGGCCATGATAATAGTAAAGAGTAGATGTCGAGCCTGACCCGCAGCGGTAATACTGGCACCATTCACATCCTATTTTTGCAGAGCTACCCTCCGCTCGAGCTCGAAGTCTCTAGCTTTGAGCTCATCCTTATGACGGAGCCCACCTTTTTTTAGCTGATGAGTCAGCTCATGTCTCATTTGAACCAGCTATTGATTCTCCTCAAGTAGTCGTCGGACTTTCTTCTCCAGCTCCGATATAGGTCGACCGGAGCTGTCCAGGGTCTCATTCCGTAGTGGCACAATAGAATCTAGTGCCTGAGTATAGACAGCAAAAAAATGTTGTTAGAATAAAAAAGAAGCTTGGACATCGATGTTTACGAAGCTTAAATGAGGTCGAAGTTCTGGAAGTTTCCCTGCGCTATGGCTCGTGCAACATAGTCGCATTGGGCCTTGCAGTCAGAGCCTCATCAGTCGTTGTCCTCAACAGGTATAGCCCACATGAGGTATGACATCACCTCCTTTATCGTGGCCGCGGTTGTCAGGAAGTGGAGAGAAAGGATTTTCTTTTTTTGCCCGTCATTGTGAGGCCTTTCGTTGCTCGGGTCAACCAGGGCAGGGTTCGGGCATTTTTTTATCGATGTTCTAGTCGACACTCTTCTCCCCGAATATATCAGCCCGTTTTCGACTTGAGGGTTGGCCAACTTGGTGGGGGAAGAGGAAGGTTTCCACTGTTTGTTTTGGGTGGAGGAATTTTCGGCCTCTGTAGCCTTGCCCTGTTGAGGGGACGCCTTTGAGGTTGGAGCAGTCCCCTGTCCAGTCGGGGCATCTCTTTTACTGGCTGAAGAACTCTTAGAACTCATAAAGCGTTCTGTATAAAGTGTAAGGAATACGGTTAGTTTCAATAACAACAATAACGACTAGATATTAAGTTCCAGCAACCAGGCTCGTCCTCATCAAGGATTTGGAGTTGTCGAAGTTTTTTCTCGGATGGAGGAGATTGAGGTTGCATTGTGAGCAAACCATAGTGGAAAAGAATCCTCTTGCTGGACAGGAAAAATTTTCAAGCGATTGAGTTTGCATTCCAAGATTTTATGTGTTTGTCGAACTCTGGGTTTCGAGCAGGATTCTGGGTATTGAATGCAAGGTCCTCGAGCCAAGGGGTCAAAGGCCTAGGGAAAAGGTAGAAGGTTGAACAAAAATAAACTTCGGCTTCCATTTAAGAAAATTGGAAGGGATATCATACAAAAACTTAGCTTTATTACGACTTTAGAGGTATAGTCCCTCCTTTTGGTTTTTAGCTATAAAAGAATAAAAGAAGAAATCGAGGTTGATTCGACCTAAAGGAATAAAAGAAAGAATGATAAAAATGGTCAGGTGAAGGATTGAATTGGGGGGAAGTTGGTTGAGAGGTAACTGAAAATAACACAGAGGTCGAGAAGAGCTGGAAAGATGGAAAAGCGGAGACCTAGTTGGATGTGGTTCTGGTAAATGGTGTAAAACCCAGGAGTAGGATTGTCGTATGTGTCAGAAGGTCCAGAGGAAATGAACATCCAGTTTGAAGGTCGACCAGTGATGTCGAGAAAATCATGAACGCACTCGATGCCGCCGAGAGAAGTACGAGCCAGATCGACTTGATGAGGAGAGTTAGGTTGAGGAGGATGGTGGTTGGAAGATAGACTAATTTGAGTTGGCGCAGAGATTGAAAGGGGAGGGCCAAAGGATAGGGGAGCCAGTTAGAGGACCTCGTCGTCTACTTCCTCAGGCTCATCGACTAGTTTGAGAGGTCGACAAGGGCGGCAGACAGGAGAGGCCTGGTTGGGTGAGGTCGGTAGAGACTGAACTGGAACAAGAGAAAGTGGAATTGGCTAGATTTACCAGAATCTAAAAAGGTAAAACAAAAAAGAAGATTTTTAGATTTTTTGCAGAGAAGAAGAGCAGGAAGAGGGTCGTAGTCGGCAAACTTGGAGAAGACAAAGAAAAAGAAAAAACATACATTGAATAAACAACGCTAAATGTGCAAAATCAAAAGGGTGAAGTACTTACTCATTGTCGAGATCGGAGATGTATCGCTTGAAGAACTTGACGAAGAACCTTGGTCGTGGTGGATGCTGGGAATTTGATTGCAAAGAGATATAGAGAGAAAATAAAGGTACGGAAAAGTTTACAAAGGTAAAAAATTGAGAACATTCGGTCTTAGGGATATTTCTAAGCGAGAAGGAGTGTAAGTCGATCAACCCTGATAGCTGGATCGGGGTCGATGCCAACGGTCAAGATCTGATGGGTGAGCTAAATGGGTGGTTCGAGCAGGCCTGTTGGATCATGGCCAAAGTGGGCGACTGAGATCAAAAGGAGGTGAAGGCGAAAAGACATGTGGCGAGAATCGTTGCATGACAATCGAGATCAGCGACTTAGATGAGAAGGCTAGTTGAAGAGACAACAGGGATTCAATCGTCGAATTAAAGTCAAATCGAACGGTTAGCATTAATGAAACATTTAGAGTAGAGCTGTCAATTTGGCCCACGGCCCGCGAGCCGGCCCGCCCCACCTTGCAAAAGGGACGGGTTGGACCGGGGTTTTCTAGGCCTGCTGGGGAGCGGGCAGCGGGCCTAAACGGGCTAGCCCGCGCGGGCCGCGGGCTTTGGCGGGGCGGGCCTAGCGGGCCGCGGGCTGGCCCGCCTTCTTTAAAAAATATATAAAAATATATTAATATATATCACATAGACTAATTTCTTGAAGCCCAACACAGAAAAATAATAATAATAATAATAATAGAAGCCCACTCAACANCCTCCAAAAGTTGCTAACTAATCCACTAAATAAAAAACACCTGGACGCCTTAGATTAAAGTGCATGTTTGTTTACAAGAATTTTAAAAAAAAAAATTCAACATTTTAACTCAACCACTTTTTTTAACTCAACTTTAACTCAACCCCACTATTATCAATATAATTAAATAATATCAATCAATCATTCATACATTTCACAATAACCTTAATTCACTATTCATCCACTCACATTATTTTAACTAACTATCAATTCAAATAATCTTTTTCCTACTTTTACATCAAATCAATTTTAATTATTTTATTTTAAATATTATTTTAGTATACCCACTAACACCTAACCATACCACCTTTTCAAAATTAACCAAACAAAACCAAAAAATCCAAACAAAACCAAAAATTTTCATAAACAAACATGCTCTCAAACTAAACAAGATCTAAACACGTGTTCCCTATTTAATTACCATTGAGAAGTCAAATTCACTTCAAATCCCTAGTTTCACCAGACCCGACCATCTTCTCTTCATCTTCAATCTTCTGCTTCTCTTCGCCAATCTCCGATCTCTCCTCATTTCCGGCCAAAATCTCTTTTTCCACATTCTGATTCATCACAGAAGCAAAGTTCAGCTCCGCCCTCTCAAGGTTTCTAGTGTTTTGTTTTTTTACATTATTAATGCAGTTA